AAATAACGAAAATATTAATTAAAATCCTAATATTCTTAATCCTATTAATATTATTTCTACTTATATGATTTAAATATAAAATGACACTGATATTAATTAATACCACACAAAAAACTCACCGGCTCAATGGGAAAGATAGTAAACAAGTCCGCAATCAATTCCCGTTGACGAGCAAACAAGCGGGAAGAGGTAACGGACAGAGCCTCGCTAAGAACATGCACCCCGTTCAATACGACCTTCTGAAAAAATAAACAACAAAATTTCAAAAACTAACCGCAGAAGAGCTAACAAACAAACCGATCTCGTTCCAATTTTCTTTGGCTTTCCTCCAAATATTCATATCCTGTTAGACATCGTTTCTTTGCATCTTCGAGTGCCGCACGGCGAGAACGGAAGGTCTCGCGTAATGTGATTAGGCGGGATCGTTCTTTTTTTATGCAATGCATAGCGATATAGAAATAATGCGTAGAGATTTTATATGTTTGTGTGGGTAACGTTCAATAAGAATTAGTTTTGAAAGCTCTGAATAATGATCTTTATGAAAATTAATTGCTTTAATACACGACACCTTCTTCTAGCTTTTTTCGTTGTTCAGCAATCTCATTTTCGTACCGATTCAATCTCAACGATCTCGAATTTTTTTCTCTTTCCTTATTTGAAATTAAAAACAATCATATATCAAACTCAAAGTTGATTATAGAATGTACAAGAAGAAATTAAAAAAAATAATCACCAAAAGAAGTTTACTTTTCTCCCGTTCAAGTATAGCCTCAATACTATCCATAACATTATCACGCGACCTCCTCGTATCAATTAAGCAGTTTTCTAGATGGTTTAATCTTTAGTGTGTTTAGAAAGTCGCCGTGAAATATATACATATATTAAATCACATACAACAAATTTGACATTTATATTTAATAAATAATAAGATAATTAATGAACTGAACTGTAAAGAAAGGTGGAAAGAGAACTCACCGCATGAGGGCGTCATATGTGTAAGAGCGTTTTCCCTAATTTCAATAACAATATATAATTCAATATTAATATTATAATAATGTTAATAATGAACGGATAAATTGAGAATTCTTGTTGATTGAATGCTAAAAAGCAAACCTTTGATTTAGCCCCGAGACTCGGGCATTCTCCCATTGTTAGTTATTAGTTCACTCTTATTGTTGTTTTCTTATAAAAAACCACATCGAATAACAAACATGTCGGTTATTTATAACAAACGATCAGCCTATTACATGAACCACAATATCTTATCGTATGAATCTGACCAAATGTGAATTTTATTCTATAACGTAAATATATTTATATTTCAAAACCCAATTTTTTGTTTCTATATAAAACAATAAATACTTTTAGAATATGCATTAATTTATTTTTATTTTTTTCCACCAATAGTATTAGCCTTCGCCCATAACGACACAGGGTATAAAATACGACGAGAAGAAATAACCAACGCGTCTTTTTGATTGAATTTCTCCCCGAGTGTTTCCTGGACTTTAGGTGCCTTAATTTTTTTAAGTTTGAAATTAGAACAACTTTTAAAATTGAATTAAAAATGAAGAAGAAATAAGAACTGAACTCACCACTTCGGCCAAATAATGATCAATCTTATCCTTACTACCGACCTCAAAGAACACTGTGATATATCGATGTACACGATCCGGATTTTTTATGGATATGTCGCCTTCGTCATTTCCTGGTTGTCGCTCGAAAACCTTAAAATCAGTTTTTCAAAGTTTACTGGTTAATCCAACCAAATAAGTTAAATATAAAATTTAACAAAAAAATTAGCTTTAAAAACCTCTGCATCTCGAAACCCTTGATTATCATTTATCGTTTGACGCAAATGATCTTGTAACCAGTTTGAGAATTCATCAAATATTTCTTTTTGTACATTGTGGATATTGTAATTGAAGTAATTTTATCAATAAAAAGTCAATCAATTCATTTAAACAATTTAATTAACATAAATTGAATCCCACTAAAAATGTAAAAAAAAATTATTTACCGAGGTCAACAGTGAAATTTGCTTCATAAATAATCGGAAGCAAATCCGCTTCGTTATGAAAGACTTTGGTTGTTCCGGCCTTTTATTTTGAAATGCATCGACGAAAAATATCCATTTACTAATTGAAAGATAAAATCCTAACTTTTGATATAAAACAACAAAATTTCAAACCTGAGATTGAGACATGTTTATTGTTCTCGTGTAATAACAACGATAAGAAAAATTTTAACCTGGGAAATCAAAAATAGAAATTCATTTATCGATACACATGAGGAATCAACTTTTTTAGTGTTTTACAATACAAGAATTCTAATTGGTCAAATTATTACGTCATATGATCTACAACTTCGAGAAATAAGTGCTTGAAATTTCCAAATTCCACATAAGTAATTCCACAAACGTAATGAGTTCCCTACCACCTCTTCCAGACGAACTGCGATTTATTAACCCGTATCTTCAAAAAGGACAAGAATTGCAAAAGCGGGAGCCTGTTATTTCTTACTTCTGCACGTATTATTTTGGGAGGACCTTTTTTGGTTTTGGTTTTTGAAGTTGTACTTTTAGATCAAGAATGTTTAGTCTTTGAAATTGAAATGAAAATGAATATTGAGTTGAATGAATGAGAGATCTCGTTTTACTAATTTATTTATTGAATCTCACGTTTTATTTAATTTTTTAATAGGTAATTATTATGCGGCAAAACTCGCAATTGGCAAAGGATTAAAGACTAAAGAGAGCAAAGCATTTCTTGCGACGTTGTTGGATGTACTTGAAGCGGTATGTTTTCAAATTTTGTGCATAATTGCATCAAATCTTCAATATTATACTTGGTTCTTGAAAATTATAAATTTTTAATTGATGATTTTTTGGTGATTTTTATTAATCATTTTTTCAAATAAAAATGACGATAATAAAACAATTTATTTAAAAAGGAAAAGAAAGGTATGGCTGAACATGAAATAATCAGCAACGACATGGCAGGATCGGCATACGTGGAAAATTTTGGATTGAAAGTTTTCTTTAATGCAGATAACGAAGATCGTGCTGGGAAAGCTACAAAGTAAATGTTAATTATTTTATATATCTATAAATAATATATATATATATATCTCAAATGAATAATAAAATTTAGAGTTTTTCATTAATATTTATCATAATAACAGAAAGACAGCCAAAAATTTTTTCCACGCTTCGCAGTTTCTAGAATTATTAAAGATCTTCGGAGACATTGATCCAGAGGTACTTAATAAATAATTGTACATTATTTATTCTGATTCTCGATAATAACAATCATAAAAATCAACAGATTGAAAAAAAAATAAAATACGCGCAATGGAAAGCTGCCAGTATAAATAAAGCGATAACTAATGGACAAACACCGGTCCCTGGTCCAGCAGGCGGTGAATCAAATACCCAACAGGAACAACAAACGATATTAGATGATGGTGGTGGTCAAATACAAAATGAAACACCTAGTTTTGATCAATTTCCCTCTGCTCCATTATCTTCATCTACTATTTCCGATAATAATAACAACATCAATTCTAATAATGTTCAAGATCCTTGGTCACTATTTCCTTCACCACCTACTCAAGAGAATAATAATAATAATCAACAACAGTCACCAATTATCTCACAGCATCTTGATGTTACTTCAACAACCACACATGATCAACCTACGAATATTGTTACAGGTTCCGAACGAACGGGGCTAACGCCACCACCGCCACTTCCTCCCAAAGTCAATGATTATTATGGTGCTTCAACTGAATATACATTATCCACAAATATTACAAATTCTTACAATACTAATGAACCAGATCAGCAACATCAACAACACCACCTTCAAAATTCACATTTTAATTTGAATTATCCACCTTTTACATCAACAAATTCATATTACGATCCTAACCAACAACAAAATCATCAGCACCAACCACCACCGGCGACACCATCATCATCAGCAGGATTACCATCTCAGAACAGCAATACAAATTTCTATCAACATCCAACTGTCCCGCCTCATCCTCTTTCTGCACCACCTCCTCCCGCTGTCCCTCATCAGAATATTTTTTCGCATGTTACGGTTACACCATCACCTCTTCCTCAACAGCAGTACACACAAAATTCTTTAGAAATTGACGCAAACACTATTGCAATGATTCAGAAACATTCCAAATGGGCGATCAGCGCACTCAATTTTAATGATGTCAAGACTGCTACGGATAATTTGAAAAAAGCTATTGAACTATTGGAACCTTATAATAAGTAAATTTTTATATTTATGATTACTTAGGATGAATATATTAACGAATGTAAAATAAAAAGAAGAATCATGGCTTTTTCACATTAGAATAAAAATCTCAGGGATGGGCATTTTATAACAATATTTATATCATTAGTTTATCAGCTTACTGTATTTTGTCTGAGACAGATAAAGCAATCAAAATATGTCATTGTACGTGTATTTTAACTCTTTTTGTATAGATAACTTTTATTCTTTTAAGCTTAAAAAAAAATATTCTCTTAATCAAAAAAATGGAAGTAGAAGCACAAAGACTTGTCTCTCAGTCTACCACGTCTTCACTGTGGCACATTTACTCTTAGATGTAACTGTTGCTGTGCATGTGAAAGCTGACTTTCTGTGTTGATTGATGTTTTGTCCCAGCATTAAGCTTACCTTGCTCTAATTTGGGCCCATTTCAATAAAGTAAAACATGAAAGAAATAGAGAAGCTAGCTTGGAAGAGAAGCAAAGATTGAAACTGGACGAGGATTTCTTGGACAGATTTGAAAATCTTGTATACGTATTCATCATTTTTCTTTACCGTTACCATTACTACACTTCTAAGAACGTGAAGGACGAAACGCGGCCAAGTTCAGCTCGATAAACCTGAAATAATGGATATATCTTTCGCCCCATCCATCTTGTGAAACGATACTAATAAGCAATACAGCGAGAATTTCTGGCTGTGTTGGATCAGTGGAGTTTGTTCTTATCAAATATTAATTCGTATGGTTTATATCAAATCAGCTCGTATTAGTGATATTGAAACAGTTAGTTAAGAATTTTGAAAGACTGGCTATTTCATCTTTGTTAATTTTCCTTGATACTTTTGCCCACTCTTTTTTAATGCAAATATAAAAATGGTTTTTAAAACCACGAAAACTTCACGTGGGAGTATTAATCAATCATGAAAAATTCAAGCATTAACTAGCATTTGCTCTAAAGCAAAATGAACCATATCGATGCAAAATAAGAGCACATCGATATGCTATTCAGAATAAATACTTTTGGAAATCATATTAGCATATTCAATAACACGTCTAAACCGGCCTGGTTGTTCCACGTAACGATCATTTTCTTTCACACAATTAGCCCCTTTTTTTTCACTTGAATTGGTTGTTTTTTCAACTTGTCAAGGTTATTTCTTTACGAGTTCTAAAAAAACTCCAAGTCGTTTCGTTGCAAGTTGTAAAACATTAATTTACAATGACTGACATGGCGAACTCAAAACTCGAACCAACTACGACTGAGAGACCGATTCCTATGCGTGGAAACCGTGCAATGTCCCTACCCACTTTGCACACTGACAACAGCAAGGTTTCTACTACTAAAACCGCACAGTCTTCTCCTTCTTCTCCTAATTACCCATACCACTCTCCACATGCCGCATACCTTTCACCTACCACATTTCCTGAACTCCCGGCCGATCCAAAAAACTGGTCTTCCTCCGACGTCGCCACATACCTAGCATACTGTCTTCGTCTATATCCACCGGCAATAATACGTGACCTGACGAAATTTGTACGGGAAGATACGTCACTTAATGGACGTCGTTTTCTTCGGCTTAAAGAAGAGCAGTTGCGATACATGGGATTTAATGAACGTTGGATAAAGTTAATAATGTTAGGTGTGAAAGCGTTACGGAGAGAGAGTTTGACTCAGAAGATTCTGTCGAATGGAGGTATAAAGGAGGAGCCGGAAGAATTCGCAGAAGAGGATGGTAATGATGGTACGTATATGCGTGATATATTGACTGACTTATTAAATTTTAGTAATGCATGCAAAGGGCAAAATATTAATTTATTAATTAATAAAATTAATAAAAATTCTGTGATGTTGTTATAGATACATTCTCTGATGCAACAACTACGTTAACAACAAATGCTGCCTCCATTTCGCCAAGTCTTAACAGTGATGATAAAGAATTTCTCGTTGCTGATGATTATAATAATATAGATAATGATAACGTTGGATCAATTTTTATGCTAACAGCAAATGACAAGGAATTTATTCAACATCAACTTGCTAAACTCGAGGAATCCTTAAAAAAATCATCTTCATCGTCTCCATCCTCATTTTTACGATGGCCTTTCAAATTTTCCTTTTCCGTTCCATCTTTTTCACGTTCGCCAAAAGAATTAAAAAACCACTATTCCTACAGATCTGGTTTGATACAGGGATCAGTAATTGGCTGCAGCTTAATGTGGATATGCATGAAACTCGCAGATAAATATTCAATTTGATGCGAAGCGTTTTTTTTTATGGTTAATTTCATGCGTTCACGGATTTTCTTAGCATTTAAATTATTTGATAAGTTGTCAGTTTTCCATATATTTATGTATATATATTTTATTGTATATTAGTGTATCATATTAGTCTTTAATTCACACATATCCATATTTAGTGTTCAATTCAATTATTCATTTATTCAAAGCTCGATCCATCAATAAAAACATCTCCTTAATTTAATTAAACACAACGTCATCTTACCAAACAATAAATTTTCCTGGCACGATGTACGTAACGATAGATAAAAATCGATCGGCTTTTTTAAAACAATAGTAACGACAAGTATTGCATTGGTTATTTAGGCCCGTATTAAAATTGACATCATAATTATAATAGACTGTATACACACATACATCATGCACGCATGTCGCTTACCGTTTTTTTTTCGAATAATTCGAATTTTTCTTTTTTTTAGCAGGCAAAATCCATTCGAATCCAGAATTAGACGATAATTTTTAACAGATTTAACTCGTAAAGTTCGAATAATCAACGTGAGAGTCCGAAGTGGTGTAAGTTTTAAATTTCCGTATACTACACAAAAAGTCAATAATAATGAGATATGGAATGGATGTACCATACATTGTCATTATTGACTTTTTGTGTATTATAATAAAGTAGTATAAACATGTACTTACACGCACCCAATATAAATTGTATTTCAATAAATTCATTTCCCGCTGCTTTGCATTAAAATTTAAAATGATCGTCATAATGCATCTACAGAACCCTTTTTAATATAAAATATATTATCAGGTGACGATTGATAAAATACGCATATACACTTTTTTCTATCAAAACTTTTATACTTATAAAACTACACATTCTTTTTCTCAATTACTTTTTAACCTACTTCTACATTAGTTATTAGTGTTGTTGTTTGCCAAAATAATAATAACTTGATTTATCCCATATTAGCAGTGGCGGCAGCAACATCAACAAATAAAACTACTAACCATTAATATCATATCATAATAAAATAAAAAAAGACGAAGGAGAGCAACATAAAAAAAGACAAAAAAATACTCAAACACTTTTCGAAACTTTTACAACAAAGTGGGAAAAACGTGGAATACTAAAAATAGTGATAATAAATATCAATATCAATAACTACGACGAAAGAAGTCGTGTAGTTTCTTCGCCCGGGGCTTGGCATGCAAAGCGGGAGTAGAAACAAAGAAAATATAAATATACAACAAGAGGTTCGTGACTTTAGTAGACTTTTGTCACATCGCGTCCATATATTTTATACATAGCATACATACTCATACATATATATATAAATGTGTATGTATATATACGATTAAAACCAAATAATATTAAAATAGGCGGGTGAAAGTTCAACCACTGCTGCGTTGAAAACCTCAATATCCTCTTCGGGCAGTCATTATCTCAAGAAAAGTAATAATCAGCAGGATCAAAATCGGTTTCCTTATCAACATCATCAACATCAAAAGTCATCATCGACAACACAAAGTTTAATACCACGACCAACCTCACTAACACCACCTGCAAAAGATAGCAAAACCAATAGTCCCACTATAGTAAGCAAGAGACCCATTTATCCTCGAGCACAACATAGGAGTAAGTCTGAAACTGGATCACTGCATAAATTAAAGTCTATACATCGGTTGCAGGTGGGAGAAGGAGTTGGGAGTGGCAGTGGTAGTGGTAATGGTGGCGCAACCTCAGGTAGTGTGTCCACCCGAAGATTTTCTATAAGTCTTCCGAAATCTTTTCATCCAGCACAGAGGAAAGCTGCAAAAGCAGCGAAAAATAAAAAGTATGAGGAGGCAATTACTCATTTAACACGCGTCTTGGAGGAATACCCTGAAAGTTATTCGGCAAGATGTGATCGAGCTTATGCATATGAAGCTACTGGCCAAATCGAACGTGCAATTAATGATTTAAGTATAGCATTTACATTAAAACCAAATAAAGCTTATGCGTGGTCAGTACGTGGGGAAGTTTATCGACGTCTAGAAAAATACGAAGAAGCATTAACAGATTTAGATAAGGCATTATCATTAGAACCGGACAATTTATTAGCATTAAAAAATCGGGGATATATATTTTACTATCGGAATATGTATGAACAAGCATTAGCAGATTTAGATCGTGCTTTGCATCTAGAACCGAATGATACATTCATTCTAAAAATTCGTGGGGATATTTATTTATTACAAGGACATTATGATCAAGCATTAGCTGAATTCACTCAAGTTTTATTACTGGAACCGGATAATGTGCCGGTTCTTCAGGTGAGAGGAGATGTACTTCGAATGCTTGGCCGGTGTAACGAAGCGCTGGAAGATTTATCTCGAGTGCTGCAAAAGGAACCGGACAATGCTTTTGTGTTACGAATTAGAGGTGATGCGTATCATATATTAAATCGATATGATGAAGCCTTGAATGATCTAAATACTGCATTGGAAATTGAGCCTGATAATGTCTCCGCATTGCAATATCGTGGTGCCGTGTATATGACAGTTAGAAGATATGATGAAGCGCTAGCAGATTTTAATAGTCTGCTTCAAATTGATCCCTCTAATGCTTTTGCACTAGAGAATCGTGGTGATATTTATATACATTTGCATAAATACGTGGAAGCGATTCAAGATTTTGATACAGCATTAGAATTGGAACCAGATCGAGTTTGTGCACTTCAATATCGTGGTGCAATCTATTTTCAACTCGGCCGTTATGATGAAGCATTGGTTGATATAAATAAATCGCTGGATCTAAAACCGACAAATACATTTGCACGTCGTTATCGTGGCGCAATCTACCGAATAAAACAACGATACGATGATGCATTAGAAGACTTCAACAAGGTATTACGAATAAAACCAAATGACGCTTTCACAAGACGTAATCGTGGTGAGGTGTATCGTTTACTGAACAAATATGATGAAGCAATATTTGATTTAAATTATGCACTGGAACTCGAACCGGACTATGTATCAGCGCTAAAAAACAGAGGTGACATTAATCGAATGCGTAAAAGGTATGACGAAGCAATGAACGATTATAACAAGTGCTTGGAACTCGAACCGGAAAATTTGTCTATATTGGAAAGCCGTGGCGCGATTTCACGTGAATTGGGAAAATATGAGGAAGCATTACTAGATTTGGGTAAAGTTTTAGAAATAGAACCGGACAATGTTTCAGTTTTGGTATGTCGAGGCGAAATTTTTGCCTCACTCCATCGGTATGAGGAGGCACTTTTGGATTTAGGTAAAGCAATTTTGTTGGAACCTGATAATTTCTCAGCATTAAAGAGACGTGGTGACATTTATAGGACACTTGAGCGTTACGATGATGCATTGCACGATTTAAATCATGCACTGCAATGCTATCCGGATGATGTTTTCGCATTGCGAATACGAGGGGACATTTATCGTTCCTTAGAGCAATATGATAAAGCATTGGTGGATCTAGATTACGCTATTCATTTAGAGCCGAATGATTCATTTGCACGAAGAACACGAGGCGATGTGAATCGGATGCTACGGAGATACAATGAAGCATTAACAGATCTAGACTATGCAATAGAACTGGAACCGAAAAATGCATTTTCACGGAGAGCTCGGGCCAATGTTTATAATATGTTACGACAATATCAAGCAGCATTGATTGATATTGATATCGCATTAGAGCTCGAGCCTAACGATGCGTTCGCGAGAAGAGTTAGAGGTCACGCGTATGTCAAACTACGGCGATACAAAGAAGCCTTGGAGGATTTTAATGTGGCGTTGAGTCTTGAACCTCATAGTGCCACGTTTATGCAAGCACGGGCAGATGTGTACTGTATGTTGAATCGATACCATGAGGCGTTATTCGATATTAACATCGCATTACAGATCAAACCTGAAAGTATAACAATGCTGATTGCCCGTGGAGAAATTTATTTGGCATTAGGACGATACAGTGATTCACTAGAAGATCTGAATAATGCCCTAATCCGTCAACCGAACAACACTTATGCCCTGAGAATCCGTGGAAATGTGTATCACAAGCTAAAACGGTATCATGACGCACTAAAGGAGTTCGACAAAGTGATAAAACTTGAGCAGAATAACGTGTACGCGTTAGCTGATCGTGGTGAAGTTAATCGAATGCTTGAACGATATGATCAAGCAATGGAAGACTTTGACAATGCTATAAGACTCGACCCAGAAAATTCATTCGCTCTTAAAAATCGTGGTGATGTCTACCGAATGCAACGACAACCGGAACAAGCACTTTCAGACCTGAATCGTGCTTTACGCCTTGAACCTAATGACCCGTTTGCGTTACGTGTCCGTGGTCGTGTCTATTTCCGGTTAAAACAGTACGACAAGTCGTGGATTGATTTAAATCAAGCGGTGCAACTTGACCCAAATAATGTTATCGGGTTGCGTTGGCGGAGTGCATTATGTCGTAAACTTCGTCGGTATAATGCAGCGTTAAAAGACATAGACAGGGCGATTGAATTGGAACCGGGAAATGAGGCTTTGTTGGCTGAGCGCGCAGAATTGGAACTTCATATACGACAACAACCACCACAACCACAGCCGAATCTACCGTCAACTACATGACATTTTTCAAGTAGATAATATTTATTTGTTTATATGTGTCTCCAAAAAGAGTTATTGGTTTCGGAGATTAATGAACAATTGGCGGATTTATTTTCCTGTTAATAATTGTCATTCATTTATTCGTTTGTTCACTTTTATATCATTAATTAATATACACAAAAAAACAGTTTATCAGTTAATTTTTTTATTATTTTGAAAGACGAATTACGCACTAAAGGAGTTCGACAAAGTGACAAAACTTGAGCAGAATAACGTGTACGCGTTAGCTGATTATTGCGGTGAAGTTAATCGAATGCTTGAACGATATGATCAAGCAATGAAAGACTTTGATAGCGCTATAAGACTCGACCCGGAAAATTCATTCGCTCTTAAAAATCGCGGCGATGTCTACCGAATGCAACGACAATCAGAACAAGCACTTTCAGAACTGAATCGTGCTAATGACCAGTTTGCGTTACGTGGTCGTGTCTATTTCCGGTTAAAAAGTACGAAAATTCGTGGATTGATTTAGGCAACTTGACCCAAATAATGTTATCGGATTGCGTTGGCAGCGTTAAAAGATATAGACAGGGCGATTGAATTGGAACCGGAAAATGTGGCTTTGTTGGCTGAACGCGCAGAATTGGAATTTCATATACGACAACCACCACCACAAGCATACCTACAACCACAACCGAATCTACCGCCAACTACATGACATTTTTCAAATAGATAATATTTATTTGTTTTTATATATTTCCAAAAAAAAATTATTAGTTTCAGAGCTTAATGAACAATTGGCGGAATTATTTTTCTGTTAATAGTCGTCATTCATTTATTCGTCAGTTATTTTTAAATTCTCTCCCCAAAAATTAATTCTAAAATTAACATTATGTTATATAATAACAATTATGCTGAGTATAAAAATTTCGAGTTTTTGTTTTCTTTTATTATTGTGTGATTTTTTTTTTCTACATGATTTGTAAAATTTAAAATTTCCTAGAGTTTTTTTGTTTTCTTTGGTTTTTTTTTC